TAACCATAAAGGAATAGTTGCTTTTGGTTTGGGCTCATCTTCTGGGACTCCTTTTAAATCAAACTGTTAAGTGGGTGGTTTTGTGGTATAGATAAAAGCCAGGAAGGGGCTTGTCAAAAAACAAAAACACAGCATCTGAGGTTGTTGACTACTCTAAACAATGTGTGACTCATGTCTCTAAAGATATAAAGTAAATGTGTTATTAGCAGTATGACTTACGGAACCAAATTTCCAACAATATATAAGGAAAAATGCAGTTTTAAAAGGCCAAACTCAGGGGCACCTGGGGGGCTCAGTTGCTTAAGCAGCTGACTCTTGATACCAGCTCATGTCTAGATCTCAGGGTTGTGAGTTCAAGCCCTGTGTTGGGCTCCACACTGGGCTCCTACTTAAAATATAAATAAATAAATAAATAAATAAATAAATAAATAAATAAATAAATAAATAAATAAAAATTTTAAAAAAATAAAATGAAAGGCCAAACTCATTTTGTAAACCAATTCCTAGAATGAACCCAGCCCCGTGTAGGAATAGTAGGATGTATTCTTATCCATTCAATACATTTTAATATTCAATACATTTTAATATGAAAACTCTACATTACTGTTTTTATTTATTATTTATAGAGAGCAAGAGAACAAGGCAGTGTTCAATGCAAACATAACAGGCACAGCCTCTGCCTCTGGGGACACACAAAGACAAATGCAAACATGACTACCCCCAAACCCAAACCAGGGGACTCAGCCCTCTTGCCATACTAAAGTAGAACATGACCAGGGTAAAGGAGACTGTCCTTGCTGAGGTCTGATCCCATTTAATGTCAGTGATGTGACCACTGAATTGTCTGGTCAGAATACAAAAGGAGGGGTCCTCAACCCAAGGTTAATAAAGAAAGAAAGCATTGATGTACGTACTGTTCTTATAGTAAGTCCTCTTCACTGAAAATAGCAATCAGTAAATAAATTAATAATTGAACGAAAACCAAAGTTCTTCACATTCAGAGATGAAACTAAACTAAATCTAACTCAATAATGGAATATTTCTGGAAAGCTTTTTACCCCAGGACCTAGCTTCTAACACTGTACCTAGCATGTAATAGGTGCTCAAGAAATATTCACTTTTATTTCCACAAACTATCTTTATCCATTTTAAAATATCCTTCTTGTTTCTGCTACTTCAGAGATGAAATAAAATCCAGAGAGCTGAACTAATGGCTTAAAATCGGGGGCAGCTGGGTGGCTCAGACAGTTAAGCATCTGACTCTTCATTTTGGCGTAGGTCATGATCTCAGAGTCCTGAGATAGAGCCCTGTGTTGGGCTCCGCACTCAGGATGGAGTCTGCTTGAGTTTTTCTCTCTCCCTCTCCCTCTGCCATTCCCCCCACTTTCTCTCTCTCTCTAAAAATAAATAAATAAATCTTTTTAAAAATATCATAAAGATCCCTCCTATTTGGGGCAAGGCATGGGAAAGGAAAACCGAGTTAACAAACCTATACTCGGCCTTACACCAGCACGGTTTTGGGCATTTCATAGGTGCTCGATAAATAGTGATGGATGGAGAACCACATCTTCTCTATGTGCTAGCAAATGTAAGAATTTACATCACATTCAGGCTTTTTCCACTCCCATGAAAAGTAATCTCTGAGCCCTCATTCTGGTAAGAGAGAATCTGGGGTAGAAGAGGCAGATAATGCATTTTCCTCAGAAAAAAACCGGATTGGCCAGGACTTCCTATGAAAATGAAAACAGACCCAATACGTGGGAATGGTATGGAATGGTTCATTATTTCACTCAAGTTTTATAGCAGGACCCCGGCTCAGTAATCTGAAACTCTATGTTGAATCTAACAGGAAAAATTTAACAAGATCCTACTGAAACAAAGTCCTACGTTAGAGCTAAAACCCGAAAGCCAAACAAAACTGGTAGAGATTTGCCAGGTCACGAACACATGTGACCTCATGCCCCACGTTTCCTCTCCAGCTGATTTGCTCATTTTTAGTCTCCTGTTTCTTTGAGCCCCATAACCAATTTGGTGTCTTTCATCTGGAACCTAGAAATTGCTGGCCTTGAAACATCAGACCAAATTGTTAAGCTGAATTGAACTGAATTTTTTAAAAAGCATTTTTCTGAGGGGACTTCTATGCCTTTATACACTAAAGTGTGTATATGGTGCAATTCTCTACATTACCCTATGAATGTAAAGAGAAGTTACCTAACAGGCCGAGTAGTTTCAGACCATGGAAGGGAGGAAAAATTATTTATAGGGGATGAAGACGCCCTCTGTGAGAGAAGAGACTTAAAGTTTAAAAAGGTCAGATGGGGGGAAGAGCAGATATAAGGCATAATCTTGGGGGATTTCACAGGTTTTCAGATCCACAGAATGGTTATTACAGCCTGCAGCACATTTTATCAGGAAAGGAAGTGGATAAGGGACAGCAGGAGAAAGTAAAAAAGAGTTTGTTCAGTGAGGATTATTTGAAGGGTCTTATGACGTCTTCAGAGACAGACTGCGTGAAATCTGGTGAAAAATGAAAATGAGACCTTTTACCAAAAGAAAGGGAATGTCCCAGATTACATTATCAGTTGACAGCAGAAGAAGCACATGTGTAAACATGTGCACTCACGTGCGTGCGTGTGTGTGTGTGTGTGTTTATTGGGCTCTCACCTTAAGTTACTAGTTGCACATATTAATCAAAGAGCACTACCCCTCCATCTGCTTTTCTATTACCTGTCCTACTTTGTGTCAATTTCCTTTCTCCTCCCCCACACCCCTTGACTCACTGTTCTTCTTTAAGACATGGGATGGGGATTTGTCAAAGTCAATGAGCACTTTATTACAGTGAGAACGTTCCATAATGAACAATTCAGCAATTTAATGAGATTCTGTAGATTTGTCTCCAGCCTGTCCATCAAGATTCACTTCTATAAAGCACCCTGACACTAATCCTCTGGCATACCCAATCTTCACCCAGGGCTGAATATTAGATTCTTCCCTGGTATATTGCATTACTAGTATAACCTCAGCAAAAATGATGAACTTAACTATACTTGAGGCAATATAGCTGGTCTGATTTAATTTTTCTCTATTGGGTTGAGTATGAGGGAATTACGTATTTACTAAGATAAAGCAAAACAGTTTCTTATTGCCTGCTGAATGCCTAAATTGATCATATTTATGTGAGTCTTTTAATTCTTTCTTGAGGACCAGGTACAAAAAAGATATTGCCTGCAGCAGGAAGCAGTTTTTAAAATTCTACATGATAATATTGGTAACCTTTGGAGATACAATTATGATAACTCTTAAGTGGACAGTATGGAATTTTTTTTGGATACTCAGACATCTGCACATTACCTCTCTGGCAGTCCCTTCAACCATGCCACAAAAAGAGATAGAAGCCACAAGGATGACTGGCTCAGATTTTAATTCAGTTAGAAATAATTAAACGCAGAATTCATTCCAAGTCTTTCTTTTTCCCTTTGGGAAATGAAGAAAAATTTGGCAACCTCCCACTTTGAATTGACCAGAAAATGTTGATGATTTGTGTTTATAGGGGAGAACCACAGATAATTAAAATTCATACCAAAACTCATCCTCACCAACTTTTGACCTCTGCCTGAACAAACATTATCAGAAATACCTAAGAAGGAGAAAGAAAATATGGATTATTCTTTTCCTTATATTTTCTTTATCAAGACAGTGTGGAATACTGGACAGATGAGGACAGGGGTCTGCAGACTTAGATTTGTAGGCTGGCTCTGCTCTGTAACTCTGAGCAAGGCACTGAAGCCCCATTTTGCTCATCTGGACGATGGGGTGATAACAACTATCCTTCAAGCCCATTGTGACAATAAGTCAATAAGTTTGCAAAGAGTCTGGGTCCTGGAAGGCCCTCACTACACCATAGCTCTTATTATTCTCAGTGGTGGAGCAACAGTAAAGAAGGAAGTTGCTGATTAATGTAAATAAAGAAAGAAAGAAGAGAGAAAGACATCAGGAAAATTACCAGTGAATAGAGTCAGGTGCTGGATAATTAACAGCTCCCTCTGCCTGTTCTGGCCAGAGTTAAAGTACTCTCCAAATGTCATTTGCTAAGATACCAGGAATTTACCGTCCCATCAGCTAACAGAAGACTTCATATTTTCTCTTGATTTCTGTATATAAATAGCATGAACATGGATATAAATAAAATATATGTCTTATTTGTTTCTACTTCATGTTTCTGTATATAAATAAAATGATCATGAAATCTTGAAGGTATAACAAGATGGCTAGCCAGCATTCAGACAGTGAGGTGGTTGATGTAAAACGAAAGTGATAAGATGGGCTCTGACTGTTCCCCAAAGACACCATGTGGATTGTTCAAGTAAAGCCAGTGGGGATGAGCAGAAAAGGATTTAAACTGAATAATCAACCTGAAAACACAAAACATCCTCCCATCCCCTAGACAAAGGATATTCGGAAAGAATGCTACGTCAGGCGAAAGGCAGGGCTTAGGAAAATGGCAATGAATGCAGAATTAACTAAAGAGGGAGATTTTTCCACTGCTGTGCAAGAAGAGCTTCATTTTATTTAAGGTCCCAGCTGCTCTCAGCTGCAACAAAGAAATGTTTCAGAATCTATTCTGATTCCATTGGTCTTAAATAATATGCATATATGGCGCTTGACAATCCATTTTTCTCACGTTCAGTTTAAGAAACTATCTATTGGGAGAAAGAAATTCTTGACTCTTTCTGATGTAACCGCCCCCCCTTAGGGTTTTGGGAAGCCCCAGCAAGGGTCTGAGAAACCACACCTGTGACAGCCCGAGTTAAGCTGAGCAAAGGCTGAGGCCTCTGACCCTGAAGGGCTGGTGTTCTCCAATCACTTGCCCATCAAGGGAGCATGACTTCTGACTTTGACTCTGAGGAGAACCAAACCAGACAAAATAGTTATCATTGCTCCTCAACTGTTCAACTGTGCCTTTTCCCTGCCAAAAGAAGACCCATGCAGAGTGCCCTTACCTGCCAGATCTGCTCTTCACTCAGGGAGGTCAGGCGGTCGCTCTTCAGAACCTCCTGGAGCAGACAATAAGGAAGCGTTAGAACGTCTTCTGGGCGACTCTTCAGGAGCTCAGAGAGATGTTTCACTAAGAAATCGATCACTGCCTTCTCCAGCAAAGTGAGGTTAAAGAGGTCAGCAAGTCTGTACAGATCCAAGTAATTAAAGCTATTTAATTCCTGGGTGCCAAAAAAATAAAAATGGGGGGAAAAAGATCTCTTAGAAATTAATCCAAGAAAGAGCAGGCAAGAAATTCAGACTGAGTCACTAAGGTTTATATGACAGGAGTGGGGGAAATGGGACTCCACTGATAATGTTAAAAAAAAAATCTTTTAATTATGAGACTCTGGCAGAGAACTGCATGTTCTAGAATTCATCATTTCTCCTTACTTTGCCCCTCTTAAAACACATGTATTTAAAGACATCTTATTTTTTAAATTTTTAAATTTATTTTTGAGAGAGGGAGTGAGAGAGAGCACAAGTGGGGGAGGGGCAGAGGGAGAAGCAGGCTCCCCGCTGAGCAGGGATCCCAATGTGGGACTCAATCCCAGGACCCTGGGATCATGACCTGAACTGAAGGTAGACACTTAACTGACTGAGCCACCCAGGTGCCCTAAAGGCATTTTAATAAAGGAGTTGAAAGAAGTTTCTGATTTCACTGACTGAAATGTTACTTTGCAACTTTTCAAGAAAATTTTACCATTGAAGAAAATTGATTTTTCTATCCTTTCCGTATTTTACAGCTCTCAGGTGAGAAGTTTGTTCGACTACAAAAATGTGAGTTCAGGTAAAGTAGGAGTCGTGATTAGATGACACAAACTATATGAAGGCAGACTGACTCTACTTTTTCCAAAACTTCAAATGAAGTATGTCTTCGAGTAAAGACAACCCATCCTGACTTGAAATTAAAACACAGATTTTTTACACGTAAGGTCTCAGGAAATGAAGGAATCTAACAGAAAAGATTCCTGTCCTGAATAATTCTATATTGAACCTACCTAAGATGAGCAATTTATAATTGTTCTTTATTTTTTGTTAGCCTCAAACAGTCAGACAACCAATGACAATCTTTCCTTCTTATTCAAAGAGTTCCTGTAGCAATGCTCATTTTGGGGGGGATTTTCCCTGTCTCTACCAGTTCTCAAGTTCATAGCCATGGCTCTAAAATAATGCACCCAGAGAGCCATGACTCCTGTGGACACTTTCTTTAATTCTGCAAGAATTGCAGTGGGCACACAGGCCTGATGATAGAAAACTTACCTATTTCAAGTAGAATGAAAGTCCTGTTTCCCATTTTTATTCTTATTTTTTTTTAGATTTTATTATGTTATGTTAGTCACCATACATTACATCATTAGTTTTTGATGTAGTGTTCCATGATTCATTGTTTGTGTATAACACCCAGTACTCCATTCAATACATGCCCTCCTTAGTACCCATCACCAGGCTAACCATCCCCTTCCCTTCTAAAACCCTCAGTTTGTTTCAGAGTCCATAGTCTCTCATGGTTCGTCTCCCCCTCTGATTTCCCTCCCTTCATTTTTCCCTTCCTACTATCTTCTTCTTCTTTTTTTTTTTTTAATATATAATGTATTATTTGTTTCAGAGGTACAGGTCTGTGATTCATCAGTCTTACTCAGCACTCACCATAGCACATACCCTCCCCAATGTCTATCACCCAGCCACCCCATCCCTCCCACCTCTCCCTTCTACAGCCACCCTCAGTTTATTTCCTGAGATTAAGAATTCCTCATATCAGTGAGATCATATGATACTTGTCTTTCTCTGATTGGCTTATTTCCGTTTAGCATAATACCCTCTAGTTCCATCCACGGTGTTGCAAATGGCAAGATTCCGTGGTTTTTTTAATGGCTGCATAATATTCCGTTGTATATATATACCACATCTTCTTTATCCATTCATCTGTTGATGGACACCTTGGCTCTTTCCATAGTTTGACTATTGTGGACATTGCTGCTATAAACATTGGGGTGCACATACCCCTTCGGATCACTACATTTGTATCTTTTCCCCCCCATTTTTAACTTGAAAATTTTAATACGTGAGCAGTATTTTCCACTAGCTTAAGGAGTGCAGAATACCATCAGATAGCTAATTCACTGATCTATTTAAGTAATTTTCAAGATATTTTCACCTTTTCCAGTTATCCAAGAATATTAAGAACTCCTTCTAAAATACTGATATTCTATTTGAATGTATTTGTTTCTAGAATATTTGAAAGTCTAAAGGAATAGGTTCTAAATCTGTGCTGTCCAGCATGGGTAGCCCCTAGCCACAGGTGGCTACTGAGCACTTAAAATATGGCTAGTCTGATTTGAGAGATGCTATAAGTGTTAAAGATACACCAAATGCCAGGAAGAAGAAAACAGAATGTAAAATATCTTGTTAATAATTTTATATTGATTATATGTTAAAATGATAATCTTCTGGATATAGCAGGTTAAATATGTAATTATAATTAATTTCACCTGTTTCTTTTTACCTTTTTTTAAGGTTTTATTTGACACAGAGAGAGAGAGAGCACAAGCAGGGGGAGTGGCAGAGGGAGAAGCAGACTCCCCACTGAGCAGGGAGCCTGATATGGGACTCAATCCCAGGACCCTCGGATCGTGACCTGAGCCGAAGGCAGACGCTTAACTGACTGAGCCACCCACGTGCCCCTCTTTTTACTTTTTTTAAATGCAGCTACTAGAAAATTTAGAATGACATGTGGCTCCCATTATGTGCTGTTCTACTGAATAAAATGTTAATAAAGAAATTGTAAAAACAGCTCTTTGAGTAACAGTTGCATCCTCATCATGGCTACCTGATTTATTATTATTATTTTTTTACTTTAGATTCTATTTCTTTGGATGGGAGATGATGCTTTAATTATATTCTAACAGGAGTCAAGCTAGACGACGAATCAGCATAAGATTCTGGCTCCTAATAGCTCTATTTGCCAACACAATCGAAAAGGAGTACATACTTACCTTTAAAATTAAGTTTACTACAGATGACCACTAAAATCCAATACAACTCAAACATCTAAGAGTCCACTCACAGCCATTCAATCAAAATATCCTGGCTTCCCATTCAGCAGATTTTATCAAAGGAATACTGAAGATTTTAACTCTAGCGCCAATTATTTCAAATAATGTTTAAACTTGTTCTCCAAATCTTACTTTTTAGGGTAGGTAAATTTTATTCTGGGAGTACAGAACATGTCACCCTTGTTTCCATAAAGGATTAGGACCAATTCCTAGGGATGAATGTTCTTTCTGGTCAGTACATCTATGAAGCTCAGGGTCCTGAATATAATTTTGGCATCCCGGTAAATCACTCTGCAGGCCCCCAGAAGCATCATGGGTGAAGTCAGGGTGGTGTCAGTGCCTTTCAAATACCCCAGGCACATGTCCAAGGCATGGTTCAAGGTCCTGAGGCCATGCCCAGCAGCACTGCACGGAGAGGCTACCATGTGCAGAAACAGCTAAGCTCAGCAAAGTTAAAGGTGGACAGGCGGAGCCCAGCAAAAATGTTTTTACACTCACTTGTTCTCCTGCCAAAAAAGTATATACAACTACGAGTTTGGGAGTGAATTATGTAGTAGCAATCAAATATTCTTTATTAAGCATCTTTATTTCCTATTCGATTAGATGCCTGCAGCTTAAAAGCAGGCTGATTCAGAACTACGGAGAACCCGAGAATTAATTTACCTTAATTGTGGTTCTTTTCTGCTGCGTTTCTTTTGAAGGTAGTCATTGAATGCCCGCTTCCCCAGTCCTGAAATGTTTTCATTTCCTAAGGATCTAATTTTATATAACCCCCAAATGCAAACTAACAAAGTATTTCATATTAGTAGAGAACTAAGAAGCTAAATGGACAAGTGTCAGCATCTGTCTGAACAGCAAAAGGGAACTAAACTAAGACATATATTCGTGTACAAGAGAAACATCAGCTAAAAGTCTACTCCCTATCTTTACCTTTTCATTTCTCTTCTCTTCTACTTAAAAACATAATTTCCCGGAGCACCTGGGTGGCTCAGTCAGTTGAGTGTCTTACGCTTGGTTTGGGCTCAGGTCATGATCTCAGGGTTGTGAGATTGAGCCCCAAGAAACAGGTGTGGAGCCTGCTTAAGACTCTCTCTCCCTCTGCCTCTCCCCACCCCCAAATAAATAAATAAAATCTTAAAAAAAAAACCCAAACACCATAATTTCCCCAAATCTGCAGTGCTTTCTATACATGTCTAAGGTTTCCACGCCCTTTGCCATGCATACTTGGCACCTCCGTAGTTAAACTGCATAAAGCAGGGAGATCAGGGAAAAAAGATAAACCATCTTCAGTGAGGTCACGATGCCACAACATGCATTCCTCTTGTCGGCGCTTTGTGAGCTTTAAGCAAAATCATCACTTCTTGTCCTTTTGGCTAAGACCATGTGTAAGCAAAATAATACCAATAATGCTGCTTTTAAAGATTCTCATAAATGTGATGTGGGGAGGTGGGTAGCAATGGTTAAATTACATTAAATGCCCACCTATAATACTGTGCATAGAAGAAAATAATCACTGTTATAAAAATAGTGCCATATGTTTCCAGTTATAAAAAGTAATAAATGCTTATTCCATAAAATTTAGGAAAAGTATGGAAAAGAAAACAAAAACCATTCATATTTCACCATGCAGAGATAATCACTATTAATGTTTTCATATACATATTCTAGATTTTTTTTCAAAAAATCTTTTTTATTTATAGAGAAAAAAAAGAATAATTGTATTCAGGGACAGAAAAAACCATCAGTAGCCATAGGCACTTGGAGGCAACCCACATTGGTGAAGAGCAAAGGCCGTACATACAATCAAGTCAACCTAGTTCAAATCCAGCCCTAATACTTACCATTGTCCATGACCTTGGTCAATCACTGAACCTCTCCCATTGTTCCTCAATCACAAAATGGAGAGTTCAACCAGCTCACAGGGTGGTCAGGGGGATAATGAATGAAAAGCTCTTACCACACACAACTTGGCACATGAAAAGTAGACAGTACATTTGGTGAACAAGGAATTATAAAGTATATTTGAGCATTGTTGTTTGGCATCCATAAACCTTGATTCAACACTGATGCAAGGAGGTGAAAATGAAGAATGTGATCCCTTTAGATATCAAAGTAATAAATAACCT